GGAGATGTGGACTGGTAAACCAGTTGATTATTCAAACCTCCATGTATTTGGAAGTATTGTGTACGTGATGTACAACGCCCAAGAAATTTCAAAGCTGGATCCAAAATCCAGGAAATGCAAATTCTTGGGGTATGCTGATAGAGTAAAGGGGTATAGCTTGTGGGATTCCACTGCCCGCAAAGTGATCATTAGCAGGGATGTTATCTTTGTAGAAGATAAACTACAAAGAAAAGAAGACGATGATAGTGTTGAAAAGTCAGAGACTACTCAGATACATGTGAAAAAAGGGTTTGAAGAATGAGATTCTTCTGAAGCAGAACCAGCACATGATGAACAAGAACCAGAGAGTTCTGAAGCTCCAACAACTCGTCAATCAGATCGTGTGAGAATATGTCCCAATTGGCACTCAGATTATGTTATAGAAGGTAATATTACATACTGCCTTTTAACAGAGGACGGTGAGCCATCAACATATCAGGAGGCAATAAACAGCTCAGATGCTTCACTGTGGATGATGGCGATGCAAGAAGAAATCGAAGCCCTTTATAAAAATAATACATGAGACCTTGTGCCACTACCACAAGGAAGGAAGCCAATTAGTAACAAATGGGTTTTCAAAATCAAGCAAAATGGTAACGATCAAGTGGAGAGGTATCGTGCAAGACTGGTGGTCAAAGGATATGCTCAGAAAGAAGGTATTGATTTCAATGAAATTTGTTCTCCTGTGGTTCGACTAACAACAGTTCGAGTAGTCTTGGCAATGTGTGCTACATTGAATTTACATTTGGAACAGCTAGATGTTAAAACAGCTTTTCTTCATGGAAATCTTGAAGAAGAGATTTATATGCTCAAGCCTGAAGGTTTTGAAGAAGACGAAAAGAAGAACTTGGTTTGCAGGTTGAACAAATCTCTGTACGGTCTAAAGCAGGCGCCGAGGTGTTGGTATAAGAGATTTTATTCCTTCATTATGTGCCTTAGATACAACAGACTTAATGCTAACCCTTGTGCTTATTTCAAGAGGTCTGGTGATAACGATTTTGTTATATTGCTGTTGTATGTGGATGACATGTTGGTTGCAGGACCCAACAAAGATCATATTGAAGAATTGAAGGCACAACTGGCTAGGGAATTTGAAATGAAGGACTTAGGATCAACAAACAAGATTCTAGGGATGCAAATTCACCGAGACAGAAGTAATAGGAAGATTTGGCTTTCACAAAAGAATTACTTGAAGAAAATCTTGTCACGATTCAACATGCAAGATTGTAAGCCAATTTCTACCCCTATTCCTATTAACTTCAAATTATCCTCCAGTATGAGTCCTAGCAGTGAAGAAGAGAGGATGGAGATGTCTCGAGTACCGTATGCATCAGCAGTGGGAAGTTTAATGTTCGCTATGATATGCACAAGACCAGACATTGCACAAGCAGTGGGAGTGGTTAGTCGGTACATGGCGAATCCAGGCAAAGAGCATTGGAATACAATAAAGAGGATCCTGAGATACATCAAAGGGACCTCAAATGTTGCATTATGTTACGGAGGATCAAACTTACTAATCAATGGGTATGTAGATTCTGACTATGCAGGGGATTTGGATAAAAGCAAATCTACAACAGGATATGTGTTCAAAGTTGCTGATGGAGCTGTAAGCTGGGTTTCTAAGTTGCAGTCAGTTGTGGCTACATCCACAACAGAGGCAGAATATGTAGCAGCTACACAAGCCAGTAAAGAAGCAATTTGGTTGAAGATGCTATTGGAGGAACTTGGGCAAAATCAAGAGTATGTCTCTCTGTTTTGTGACAGTCAAAGCGCCTTGCATCTAGCAAGGAATCCAGCATTTCATTGAAGGACAAAACACATACGAGTTCAATACCATTTCATTCATGAAAAGGTGGAAGAATGGACGGTAGATGTGCAGAAGATCCATACCATAGACAATATAGCAGATTTCATGACGAATGCATCAATGCTAATAAATTTACCTGGTGTCGATCCTCTTGTGGCCTGTCAGAAACGTAAGCAACATGAAGGTACAAGGTAGAAAGAATGGTGTGAAGATATGATTGTTCCAATCAAATCTTCAAGTTGGAGATTGTTGAAAAAACAAATGCACCGAAAGTGCATTGGATTATTAGGCACCAAAAGTGGTGCAGTTTTTGTTGATTTTTAGGTATGGGTAAAACCTTAAATTTAGTCATTGTAATTTAGGGTATTTACAAATTAGTCCTTAAGTTTCAACTATAAATACCCTAGCTCATTTAGCTTCAAAAATCATCCCAAAGCATTCTAGCTTTCTTCCAATACTAGAGAGAATTTAGAGAGTTTCTTGAGAATTATTTTCTCATTTTTATCAAGAGAGAATTATCATTGTTTTCTCCTTGGTAGATCGAGAGAGGTTGTAATTCCTATTTTCTCATAGTGAAATTCTTCTACTGTTGCCCGTGGTTTTTACCCTAATAATTTTAGGGGTTTTCCACGTAAATTTTGTGTCTCTTTTATCTTCATTTTTTATTTTCTCAAATTATCAGTTGCGATTTTGCTCTATCCGATAGCCGTCTTTCGCAACACTGGCCACAGTTATCACTACATGATTTCGTATTTTTCTTATCTACAACTCCGAGTAACGATGCTTCTAACAGTCTTAATTCACAACGGCCTACAAAGTGGTCGTATTTTCCCTCACATGTTTCGCCTGCTGAATATGCTGGAGCTAACGCTCTCTTAAAGGTGATTTGCTTGTGATTATTGGTGATTGATTTGGTGTAACCTCTTGAATAATAAATTGTTTGGTTGGTGCACGGTTGCATTCTAGTGGTTGAATCAACAAGCAATTAATTGTCAGTTCTATTTTGTAGCAGAAGTTTATTGAGGAAATATTTGAAGTGTGCTAGTTGGATTGTTCATTCTTTCATCAGGTTATGCATAAGTGTTGACTGTAATTTTTGTTGGGTTTGAATATCTGCTTCTCCTTTGATATTGATATGTTGGTTCACCTTGTTATATACTTACACTAAAGTTGTTTCTTTATTCTGATTCTTATTGTTCGTTTTATATTGATCGTTGTTGAAATTGGTGGCATGCGTTTAAGTTGATTGTTATGAAATGATGTTAATTCCTATTGATACTTCTTTGTTGACTGTTTGTTTCTTCCACAAGACAAAGTGGTACTTGATGCTTAACACCCTAATTACCATGATAGAAAATTCTCTGGGGAGGGTTTAAATGTTTAACAACTTTTCCCTCCTTAACCAGATATGGTGTTTTCTTGCCCAAAAGAAGCTTCAGATTGCACCGGGGAGTTTGTAGCTTCACCGTCTTGCTTCCACAAAAAAAAGTCTGAATAATAAGTGTTGAAGAAAAAAGACAATAAGGAAATAATTGAAGAAAAAAAAGGTTGAAAAAGATAGATGAATGAATTGATATGAAGAGGAAGAAAGTTGTTCAGAAGTTCAATTTTAGCTTGTTATCTAGTCTGTTATTCATTCAGCTTGTTGTTCAAGTGCTTATGTTTGGTTCAGCTCAACCATGTTTGTATTTCTTGCTCAAGAATAAGTAATTTGAAGATGATCAAGAAGGTTGAAGAAGCAGGGTGAATGTTCGCATATAAGTTGAGTTAGTTATAATTAGTTAATTAGTCAGTTTGTTATCAAGTTGTTAATTGAGTTGGACTATATTGAATGGTTGTAGAAGTTGAGTCTTAGGGTATAGAAACCCAAGAGTACCATGGGCTAAAGGCTAAGCTTTGTAAATTGTAATTCAGTTTCATATTCAATAATATTCCTAATCACATTCTGCTTGTTTTTCATGACGCTAAATCAACATTGTTTGTAGCTCTCTTCTCATTCACTGTTGTTGTCCGACAGCCACCGACCACCGTGCCGGAGCTTCAACAATTTAATATCTTCAATCAAACGCCAGGATAGGAAGAGGCGTAACGTGTTAATATTTCAAAGGATCATGTTGATTCAAATGTCTTACTTTGGATAAGTTCTACTTGAGTGAAACATCATGTCTCTAGTCCAAGAAAAAATCCATTGTGCTGGGTTCTAGCTGATGAGCAGATTCAATGGTAGCCACCCCACTTCAGTTGGATCTATCATAGCTCAGATGGGGTTGTATCTCTTTTGGCAAACCTTGACTTGGCTGCGGGCCTATTCGCGACCTTAGTTTAGATGGAGTCTATGAGGGTTTGAAACTCACTAGCTCAAATGCCTTCCATCGTGTTATAGTTCAGATGTACAATGTTGATGTCGTCAAGCTCCTCTCGCCACTTTCTTTTGAGAGTCTCTGTACTTTAGCAATATATACCGCTTACATATGTAACAAGACTTGGCTCGTTGATTTCCGTTTGATCCGATGAAAAACTAATATGGTGGTGGACTATGTTGGAAAAAATATACTGCAAAATCATAAGTAAGCACTGACATGACAGTTTAAAATAAAATGAGCGAATGTAAATTAGAATTGTATCGTGATAAAACTACTGTCTTAGAAATAAATTTGCCCTAATATGTGTAATCGCTACATTAGACGGATTGTCCCCGAAGTTAACATGATCACTCCGAGGATTCGTACACCCAAAAAAACACATTGGGATGAATTTGTTTCTAAAACAGTGATTTTACCACGAAATGATTATGATTTTTATATTCGCTAAATTTATGTTACACTGTCCTATCAATGATTACGCTGTGATTTATATTATTTCCAAGAGACTACAAGGCCAAAATCGATTCCTTTTAACATACGAGACACCGTGTTTGAGGCACCTCCATATAGTTTGCTTAATGCATTACACAATGATCCTCCCTATACGCGTGTGGGAGTATGATATACCGAATTAGGTCTCATTCTTATATTAAAAAAATTGCAATTAGTGATACATTTATTCAAATAGGCGTACAACCAATGATGCACCAAAGCTGTTATTTTCCAACATAATTTCCACTCAAATATTTCTAAAAGAAATAGGTTTAACTAATGATTTCACATTTCTTGCATCAATGAGGAAATGGAGGAATACTTTGCTCATGCCTAAAGAAATTCCGGGGATCAATCATCGTCTTCACACACACTAATCTGTGAAAGTTATTCATGAAATACTTACGACCCCATACGCTTGCTTGAGCCAAGCTCGTGAGGTTGCCTTGGTTATTAGTTCCGATGTCGAGATCTCTGTAATTAACGTAAGCTTGCCTTGGAGATTTCGAAACAAACGAACCCATGTATTTATAAAGTCTCCTCAGCCATCGTATGTATCTTTTGGATCTCACGTTTTCTTCTTCTTCTTCTTCCCACCCTGCCTCGTACACGATTTGGAATAAGGTTCCTGCTCGATGTGGGAATGGCTTCGCGGTTGCAGGGATTTCACCCATTTTTCCTCCATAAGAGATGAAACTTATTCTACCTGAAGTTCCTTCTTCTTCAAAAAGATGCCTCCATAGTCCTCCAAGTCCGATTTCTGGGATCGGTTTTCTGACATAATCGGATTTCGATTTGAAATAAGGGCTGTAAAAAGGGCTCTGATAAGTTCTATCGAGTAAGGTACTCAAGGACTCATTCGGAAGGTTTCCCATGTAAAGAATCGATTCGATCCAACTCATTTCGACGAAGTTTTCCCTCGTCAACCCTAGCATCGGAAACCTCTCTCGCATCAACGGAACTGCTTCATCGATGCCGCCGAGAAAATAGCCACGAAACGAAAACCGAATCGTCCCGTTAACTCTTCTTATCGTGATATCGTTGTAAAAGTCATTGGGAAGCCGAGGAGCAACGGATTGCCATTGATGAATGAGATTGGTGGCATTTTGTTCCAAGTTTCTATCCACCGTGAAAGCAGACACAGTCGGCGGAACCGAAACTAATCGTAGCTTCCACGAAACAACGATCCCGAAGCTTCCTCCTCCGCCACCTCTAATGGCCCAAAACAAATCTTCTCCCATGGATTTTCTATCAAGAACTCTCCCGTTAACATCCACCAACTGCGCATCGATAACGTTATCGATCGCGAGACCATATTTACGGGACAGTAACCCGTAACCACCGCCACTCAAGTGCCCTCCTATGCCAACAGTGGGGCAAAGACCGGCCGGAAAGGCAACAGTGTTGGACTTATTAGCAAGGTTGTAATAAAGCTCTCCAAGAACAGCTCCGGATTGAACCCATGCAACCTTGTTTCTTACGTCGATGTCGACTGATCGTAAACGAACCATATCGACCACCACAAACGGAGCATGGGATACGTAAGAAAGACCTTCGAAATCATGGCCGCCGCTTCGGGTTCGGATTTGGAGCCCGTGTTTTTCAGCACAGTAGATCGTTGCTTGGATATGGGAAACATGCAAGGGTGTTATGATGACCAAAGGTCTAGGGGTCGTTTCAGTGCTGAACCTCAAGTTTCGAGCTCTAGACTCCAAAAGCCATGAAAATGAAGAATTATTTGGTGTGAAGATAAGTCGAGAAAGGGAAGATGAGTAATTGGGACGAAGAGAAAGGCAATCAAGAAAAGCGTCGTCGTCAGCATCAGCTGAAGTTGCCATTAACAATGATAAGAGCGGAAGAATCAAAACAAATGGAGACATGGAAACGCGAAGAGATTTCATGCTGTACTTCTTTGGAAATGGATGATTTTCAAAGCCTTGCACAGCCCTTTATTGGCCTCTGCCACTGGAAAATCAGCAAATGCTAGTATTGAAAAAAACCAACAAATAATTATATAAAAACAAAAACAAAAATGTAGTTTTGAAACTATATAATCATTTTTCATCAAGTGTCAAACGTTGAAGAAGAAGCAACCAACTTGATTCCGTGGTGAAAACCTCTAGTTGAGGATCGAAAAACTACCAAGGAGGCAATGGATGGGTGGGAAAAGGATACTTTTAGGGATTTCGAAATGCTACTCACAACAGATTTCCCTCACTAAATTTATGCCTTATAAATTGGAATCATTTCTTTTACGTCAGTGTTTCCCACATTTGAAAAGGGACACAATAAAAAAATGGGATTTCGTTTCTGTAAATCTGAAAACTTTAGACACCATAATATAATATTATAGAAACTCATATTGATATGACTCATTTTTTATGTGGCATTGAAACAATATATTTAATGATTAAAATAGAATAAAAGAAAATTACTATATTTTTTATTAAAAAATTTGTACCGTGATACATGTTAACACAAGCAGGAATATGAACACAAACACAAGTCAAATAATATAACAATATATTAAATTTTATTTTAAATCATTCAATGATTATATATTTAAAAAGTTATTTAAATGCTTCAAAAATATAATATCCAAACAAGGTAGGATTCAAACCTCACATCGATTAAAAATTATTTTTTCATGTATTTAAATATAACCTTTTAAATAAACTTATTAAGTGATTAAAAATTAGACTCATATATGTGTATGTCATATATATACACACACGTGCACGTGTTCTGTTTGACTTGACATGTACTCGTGACAACATGTATTTACATGTATATTTTTCTCTCTTTTTGGGTTTTTTTGCATCAAATTTTCATTTAAAATTAATTCAAACCCATTAAAAATGTGCCCGGTCTAATTCAAATTTTCATTCATATGCATAGAGGAAAAAACTTAAACACGGTAAACAATAATACAAGGAATAATGAATCATTCAAGGACCAATTTGTAAATATGGAAAAGTTTGGGACTACTTTCTAATTTGGCAAAATTTGACAGTTTAAAAACAAATACGGGAGTAATTGGAATTGTGGATGTAAAATTAGGTAAGGATATTGTCAGGTCATGTCAAATCAGGTATAGGTCGTGTCAGGTTAATTTAATAGTTTTACACAGATCGGGTCGGGTCTGGGTTCGGATTGGATCATTTCAAGTTGATTTTACTATTTGATTTAGTTCAGGTTCGGATCGGGTTAATTTCAGTTCGAATCGATGTTAGTTCAAGTCTGAATTAGTTAAATTCTAGGTTGATTCAGGTTCGGATAGATTTAAGGTCGGATCTACCAAGTACGGATTGACTTCAATTCGGGTAATTTTGGGTTAATATTTTTCGTCCTTCATGAACGATGAATTATAATTTTTAATTGTATATGATTTGGAGTAAATTAAAAAAATGTAAATAATTGTGAGTCAATTTGAATGAAAATATAATTTTAAGGACTAAATTAATAAAAAAATAAATTGCAAACAAAAATTTAAATAAATCAAATAACACACATGTATGAGATACTAAATCAAAATATAAATAAGTATGGGTCAATTTCGTATACAAATATAATTTTAAGGAAAAAATTGAAGTAAATTACAAAAAAAAACTAAAAAAGCATGGGCCAATTGCATATACAAATATAATTTTAAGGACTAAATTGAATAAATTAATATTTAAATAAATTACACAACACGTAGGGACCAAATTCAAATAGTTGTAAAATATGAAACTAAAATTAATATAAAAATGGACTGAATCACAATCATTTTAAAAGTTGAGGAAAAAATAAAAATAATATATATATATTAATATATATAATATAAGTATACTTATAATGTATAAGTATATATTCTACTTATAATATACACATTATACTTGTAAGTATATATATGTGTATATATAATATTTATATAAGTATACATTATACTTATAAGTATATAATATAAGTATGTATATAGGTATATATAAATATATATAAGTATAAAGTATAATATATAAGTGTATATATATATTCATATATATATTTATATATTATTAAACATAAGTGACTAAAATAAAAGATTCTAAAATTAATATTCACATTTAATAATTGTGCACATTAAAGAAAGAAGAGAAAATTAAAAGTAATTAGAATGTATACAGTACTAAATTGCATTGAATTGAAAATTTTAAGAAAAGATTTATAATTAGACCGTGATTGAAATGAAGAAAACTAAATATTAAATTACAAAATAGAAAACCACTAATTGTTAGAAAACAACATTGGCCCCAACATTTGTGTACATACATATGCAAAAATCAAATTTTCCCTCTTCCCCAAAAAAAAATCAATTTTTCTCTCTTCTAAATTTTTGCAAAAAAAATAAATTTTGTAAAAATTTGCAATCCTCTCCTCTAAATTCCTAAAAAATCAATTTTTCTCTCAAAAAAACAATCTTTCTATTAAAAAGTTCTCCCACCACACACGTGAATATATATATATGTAAAAATAAACTATTTATTTTAAATTGATTCTTAAATTTTAGATTTTTAAATTTTTTATCTCAAATAAATTCATTTTTATATATATTATGCTAAATTATATTTAAATTATTAATTAATTAGTACATAAATATAAATTCAACTTATAAATATTTAAATTGATTTTATATAATCTAATAAAATCATGTTAAATAAATAAATTATTTAATAAAATTAATTTAATGATTATAATTAAAATTTATAATATAAGAATTATAATTAATATAGAGATTAAATTTATTAATTTAATTATCATAACTAACAATTTGTTTTAATTTTTAACGAGTAATCATATTAATTTTCATAGTTTATTTAATTGTCAAAAAATATCATAACTAACAATTTGTTTTAACTTTTAAAAATAATCATATTAATTATCATAGTTTATTATAAATTCAAAATCTCACAATTCATCAACTGTAACTTATAAGTCAGGTAAATATCAGTTCAGTTTAATAACATGTCAAATCGTTTACAGGTTGAGTTAATTACATATCAAGTTTATAACAAGTCAAGTTGATACCAAGTCAGGTAATATCAATTATTTACCGGGTTAATCTCGGGTTCTGGTTCATATCAAGTCGGATGTAGGTCGTGTTCAATTATCACATTATCAGGTTCAATTCAGGTCCAGGTCTCAGGTCAAGTGCAAATCGTAAATTTTCAGGTCTAACTCGAGTTCAGGTCAACACCAGTTCAAACTCGAATCGATTTCGGATCACCAACACCTCGAGTCAAAAACATTTTTTACTCAAATTAGATTCAATCAGTTTTGTAGGTCGGGTCAGTTTTTTACATCCCTAATTGGAATTATCATAAAGTAACCATGGCATTTGGAAGTTAAACTATCTTTAACATAATTCCACCAATTGGAACACTTCATAAGAAGAAAAACTTCATAGAAACATAAAAGCATCAAGCAATTCAACAAGAATCAAAATATATGCCCCTAAGCTCTTTCATGCAACTTTTATGCAATTCATGAACCAGTTTCTAGCTAGTTATGCTAAATTGCTTTCTAAGGATACCTATAACACCTTTTTCTTGACCTAGACGAAAATTTAAAATCGAACCAACAGTGTCACATTAATTTATCAAAATAAAATCTAACTCGAAAACAGACAAAATCAGATATTCACAAGTCATCTAAATCTTCAAACATAACTAAGGACTCGAATGTAAACTATACAAGCATAGAAGTCATAGTTCAAATCAAGCATACTAGAAGGACCTTCCTTAATAATCTCAACCAATTTAGGCTATTGATATTGATACCCATCTTTGGGTATTGTTATTGTATGAGCAATATCGATACTTTTAAACAATATCAATATCAAATTGGTAAATTATGTCCATCAATTCAAGTTATTAGTATCAATATCAAGTTGTAGATATCGATACTACTGAAGCGATGTCGATACTCAAGATCAATATTGATATTAATGAAGCAGTATCTATCTTCAAGATCAATATCGATATCAAAATGTCACATTGTCTTCTGAAATTTGCTTTTGGTATCAATATTTCCTTGAGTAACACGGAATTATGGATATCTCCTAATTTAAAATCAATATCACCTTAATAGTATTGATACTAAATGCATCAAATGGTCAAAACACTCCTTTAAACATGTCTAATTGTTCAAAACATCAACGAAACATCATGCAACACCCAACTAAGTTAATTAACATTAAAATATAATTCAAACATGCAGTGGACACACTGAATTCATCAAGATTATCATACAATCTTGCTTACCGTTACACAACTCATACTTTCATCTAAGATCATCCAAAAACTAAACATGTTCACATCTTTTATACATCAATTTACCATGTTTTTCATAGGTGAAAAAAATGGATCCTGTCTTTACCCTTATAGCATCATTTTTCATGCATTAAACCTCAAAACATAGCAAATCAAGTCATGTATAACATAGATATACAAACTCAAACTCAAACTATGATTGGCTAAAATTACTAAGTAAATTTAGTTTATTAAACTCTTATACTAAAATGTATTCAAAAACATGAATAATAAACAATACTCCTACGAAACATGCATAGATGTTAAATTTGTAAAAATTTAACATCTTTATCCTTTTTATTAGTAAATAGACTAAATCAATTCATTTAATAGAAGAAAGATTAATTTGAACTTCATTAATTCATTTAATAATAGAGGAACTAAATTGATACCGTCCCATAATAGAGAGACCTGAAAAATACTTTCACCAAAATAATTATTTCTTATTTCACCTGGGTTGTTTCGAGAAATAAAAGCATATACCTTACTGGATACAGAATTTTCAATCATAAGATCAGTTAATGAATATTTTTAATGAGAACACAACTTTTCGAAGGACCAAAACAGATGATCTTTAACTAACAATACGAAACTGAAAGTGAATAAAAAACTTCTGATATTCCATCATAAGAAACAACTTCTGACGTCTAATTTTTATACATTTTCAAAAAGAAAATCAATTTCCATAATCGAATTCTAGGTATGACTGATTTATGTCCATTATAGTTCCAGTAGATTATAAAAAACTAGAAGATAGAAAGATAGCTAACCATTCTCCAGAGATGTTCCCATTTGTATCTTTAGATGGGTATGATCCTGACTAATATCTGGACTGATGATTTCATGGGTGGATTCAGCAAATTTTAAAGATTATATGCGGCATTGACCTTCAAGCTTACAGAGTGATGCAGGCTGCATCAGTCACTTATCGGAGGCATCATCAGACTGAAGCTCTAAGCGCATCTGTTCTAAAAGTAACTTTTCAACAGCATCCACAAAAGTCGATAAATTTTGCCGAATGTTCGTGTCCAAGGAATTAGCCATTTCCTAATGAATGAAATCAAGGAAAAAGGGGGAAAAAACGAAAACGCAAAGTAAGAAATTCTTTAAATTGATAAGAGCAGAAACAGGAAAGCTGAAAATCTTCTCATTCTAAGATAAATGGTACAAATAAATGCTTTGCCATGCCTTGAAACTAGAAACACAGATAACTAGTACAACATTAATAAAACAACTCAACTGAACTAAAAGCCTAAATCAAAAACTAATTGGAATTCACCATTCACTGTTCTGACCTCCAAAATATGTTTAAATGTATATGTTTTTGAGCAAGACATTGGTTTTAATTAAGGGAATGATTCCACTTTCAGGAGACATGCATTCTGAAGGTACTAGAATCTTCACAGTGCACTTTAACTAAATAAGTAAATAAATGCCACCTACCTGAACCTTGCAAAGCAAGCTCAATGAAATTTCCCTTGAATGATGATCAGAGCTCTTGACAGATAACAATTTCAATGGAGATTCTGATAGCGGCCAACCTTGAGATACCTTTATAAATGCATCAATTCCCTCAACCAAATGAGCTGCAATGGTCTCATCTTTCTCGATGTACTCAAAGCAATGCCTGCATTAGGTACTATTCAAATATAAAAAGCTTCTCTTTATGTCTATTGTCTCAGCGCAAATGATAGGCAACTTGAAAGTTCTGAAAATATTATACTAACACCAAGGATTTAAATCGCGGTTGTGTTGTGTTTATCGCGATTGTAGACATAGTGGGCGCCATTTTGGTGATTGCAAGTATTGCGGTCATGCAATAATGGTTGCGGATGAAACCACTACCGCTATATAGCGGGCGCTATTGCGGTAGCAGACCACTCTTTAAATCCCTGAATTTAACACTTTAAACTTTACTTATGTGTCTCACCTTGATTTGTTTGCACTCTTTACGACAGATCGTCTCGAAGTACTTAAGATAATCCTATCTTGCATTTTTCCCACGAACCACTCTAATGAAGACCATGGCTCTCGTGTCAATAAGTTAGAGGATAGTTGCCTACAGCATTACAATAGATAATAACACTTAAATAAGGAATTCAAGTTGAGGTCTATTGTCATCGAACTGGATTAAAAAAAATGTTTCCTGTCAGGTTTATTAGGCCAAACTAAAATGTACCTCGACATAAATAATAGATGTATGTAGAACAATTACTGGAAAGCTAAGTAAAAGGGGGCAGGAAATACATACTGTTGAGCGGTACTTCTAGCAAAAAACAAGGATTATTAAAGCTTAGACCTAATGCTGACCGCCTTGGGAAACAAGACCTACAATGGAGGTGAAGATGGGAATTTAAAGGTTCAAATGAGCAAAAGGGAAAACAGGTTCCAGCTCTAGGCCCAAAAAAGCTACCTGCTAAAAAAAACACTGAAAGTCTAAATAAAGAATTTTGGTTGGTAATAGATGATGAATTATACCATGAAACCATAATTTGACAATGCCCTCTAAATGATGGATAAATAGGTGTATCAAAAAGGGTTGTAAAGTTTTGTACTTTATTTAGGGCAGATAGCAGCAAGAATGATAAAAGAGATGCAGGTAATTTTAGTTTTGGATGCCTAAGACATTGAAAACTAAAAGAACAGGAATGTATATTGCCCTTCAGACAACTTCCTTTTCAAGAAATCACACTAGGTCACAAACACAGGTAAAGTATATTCTCTTTTATAGCCCTTCTACTACTCACATGCACAAATGTACAGAATTAAACATCATTAATTAGGATTCAGCCTCTAAGCCAGAGAAATTGAAAAAACCAAACCTGTAAGACTTTGCAGCATCAAGTATATCACCTATGTAAACGTCATTCGGGAACATCTGGACAACATAATACATTAATAAGCATTCCAATACAATTGAAGAAAAAGACCTGAAGAAACAGTATGATGTCTTTAGAAGCAAGTACAGCTTTTCTAATGCATGTTTAATTGGAGACAATGAAAACATGGGCTAGAACTAACGAATTATCAGCCAAAAGTGAAATTATATGACAGTAACTTTTTTGAAAATAGTGATGACAATAAATTTTGAGTTTTTTTTTATTTCCAGTTCAATTGCATTAAATAGAAAGGAAACTGAATCTTTTGGTATTCCTAAAACCGTTAACATTTAATATCTTCTCCTTTAGAACAGAGATGCAGAAAAGAACATATGATTTCAATTTTTCACGAAAAATAATTACTCATACCTCAACGTTCTTGACCTCCATGGTACCATCATCAATAATCTCTAGCAGCAATTCATGAGTAATTTCAGATGGCTCATCAATATCTTCAATCATTATTTGCCACAAAACGCCCTCTACTTTTGGAATATATGTCTGCAATGACAGTCTAATGAAGTTCCCATCAAAGCCAATGACTTTCAAGCCTGTCAGTGCATTTTCAATCTGTTCTAAGGCATCTAACCTGAAAATAAAAAAAGAGAAAATAACCTCAATGGCCGAAAATACCTTATAATATACGATTTTAATCAATTTTTTTTGGATTTGCCAAAATGACCAACAAATTCGCAACGCAAAAGTCAAATTCGTAACGCGAAAGTCAAATTTGCAACGCGAACTCCAATTTCGCAACGCGAATATGTAATTCACGTTGCGATTTTCCAAATTCGCGTTGCCAATCTGTAAATCGCAACACAAAGTCAAATTCGAAACGCAATAGTCAAATTCGCAACATAAAAGTCAAATTTGCAACGCGATAGTTAAATTCACAACGCGATAGTCAAATTCGCAACGCGGAATTTCAAATTCGCGACACAAAAGTCAAACTCGCAACGTGAATAGTAAAAATCGCAACGTAAATAGTAAAATCACAATGAATCTATATGTAAATTATCTCTTATCATCCATCTATAATAATTTGTTAGAAAAGTACATAAATAATTTTTATAAAAAATATTCGTACACGTAAAAAAATTTATATGTAAATGAACAACAAATCTATTTCATTTATCAACCTTCATTACAAATTATTCTAAATTCAATTAATTAAAGTTTGAAATTTGAATGAATCCTTAACTCAGACTAATAAAATACATTTAAAAAATTAAATTTTGAATTATATTAAGAAAAAGCTTATTCCTGTACACATGTAGATAAGTTTTATTTTCCACTTAAAATCCCAGTCTAGAAGCATAGAGTTACCATTTGAAATTCGCAACACGATTTTGCGATTTTCTAAATTCGCGTTGCTATTTTCCAATTCGCGTTGCGATTTTACTATTCACGTTGCGATTTTACTATTCACGTTGCGATTTTTACTATTCACGTTGCGAAATTGAAAACTGAGTTGTGAAATTGGAGTTCGCGTTGCGAATTTGTTGATCATTTTGGCAAATCCAAAAAAAGTTAGTTAAAATCATATATTATAAGGCATTTTCGGTCACTGAAGTTATTTTCTCATAAAAAATGATACAGTGGGTATATGATAAATGGAATAGAACACATACAATTAAAGAAAAAATTTGAACTACCTTTTTAATGTAGAATCAAGATCCTGCAAAGACTCCAAAAGTAAGTTGTTCTTCTCAATCTGACTTTCTAGTTCCAAAATCTGAAATGAAGGAAATCAAACGCTCAATGAATTAAAATGTTGTGTGCCGTTTAGAGCTCAGAATTTAGCATACAATACTAGCATATAGGCATAAGTAATAGCCTAATTGAGTATATCAAACATCTTAGATAACTAAGATAAAGTTAGAACTTAGAACTTAGGTAGTCACCAAAGAAAATAGATTCTCGTAAAGATGCTTAGAAAAAAAACCAATGCTACATCAACCATCAGTTTAAACCTAATGTAGTATTCGACAAGCAAGTGAGAAAAAACAAAAGAACCTCAAACTTTTGCTCTTCATTTGTATCCATAAGATTTGATTGATGTTCATCATTTATAGAAGAGATGAAGCATGGATCCTCTTCCACTATCCCCTACAACACAAAATAAGAAAAATAGCTTAATGTTGAAGTTTGGCTTCCAAATTGATTTCAAACTGAATGCTTATCAGCCCATCAAGATTGGTTCAGAGAATGAATTAACATAGGAGAAACAACCTGAGAGGCAATGGAATCCAATGCACTTTTCAAGCCTTCAAGATTGCCTTCCAGAATATTTGATTCTGAAAAAATACAAGTTAAAGGTAAAAGTTAAATCGGCAGAAGGAAAAGCTTGTAAGAGTAATTACATGTGAAAATCAAATCCAAGTCAATGAAGCATCACCTTCAATACGATTTCTTGATAGATCCTCAATTTCATTAGAAATCTTGACACTTTCAGCCTCAACTTGATTATGCTCCACTTTCAAGTATGCTAGGTATCTATATGAATAATAAAGAAAAGAAGTGTCAACCTAGCGTCAACATGACCATGCATTGATACCAATAGATATTTTCCTAAATTCATGAAAGGGCCATGAACAAGGGTGCATGACTGTCCTCCTCTGTGTCCAGACAACAATTATTTGATTGAAGATCTTGGTCTAGTTCGTTTTATGCTTTAAGGCAGCATCTATGTGGTCAGTTCCCCCAAACTTACATTCTTTGGGAAAGCACTTACAAGGAATGGAATAAGGAAAAGCTGTATGAACATACAAAACAGCTCCACAGCATGTTCTGTTTCATATCAATGATTGTTCATCTGTCTTGGACATTTTAACCCCTCTTAAAATTGCTTCAAGTTATACAAACCTTTTTGTCACCATCCGTAGAGAAAATAAAATAGCAATGAGCCTGAATTATGAAATTCATCCAGCAATTTATGCTGAAGCGCTGAAAATTTCCTCATCGTAGTTGAGTTTTCCAAGTTGGGGAGAATGACACAAGAGCTATTATTACTATTTTTTTGTTATTTTAATGTTAATTATTAATTATTAGACATATAGATAGATGACTAAGATTATATGTGATCGCTAGGGTTTAAATCTAGAGCTAGGATTATAATTTATCTATAAGGTTTAAAGCTAAAGCTAAGATTAAAATTTTATTTGTAACCCTAGTATAAATAAGCTGTAAAATATTTACAACCATGGCATTATTATTATTATTACTATTATTATTTGAATCTGTAGAGGGAAACTAGAGGTTTTATAATCCTACATTTTTTGAAAAGTTCCACTTTCTATCTTACTGGTTTTCAGCATTATTTCTTTTTATTGTTGCTGTTTTTCACCCTAACTCACACCATTTCGTAATGTGTTTTCTTATGATGTTTTTTTCCTCTATTCTTTTAATTTAAAACCTTAAATGGACCCTAAACTATCCACTGTGTTCCATTTCAGGTTAATCTAACTAACTTTTTTAAATCCATATTCCACCAAAAGCAAAGACTTCCCGCAAGAAAGAAAAAAAAAATCCAAAACTATAACTAAAATCCTTACAGTCGGATCAAATAACTAAAACGAGCAAAAGAGGTTGCTACTAAGGACCAAGGTAACATTTTGAAAACTCAATACTCCATTAAAAAGGGAAGAGGGGGGGGGGGGGGGGGAAGGAACCCTTACCCAAGGGAGAGAACAATAAATAGGTATTTTCTATAAGTTGAAATAGTACAAGAACATTGGCAGTTTATTTTAATAAAACCAAAAAAATATCTAAAATATTAAAGGAAACATACCTAAATCTTCAATTCCTAAGAAACCCGCATCAGAATATTCTTCAATTATTTGGTTCACTTTCCTCTGCATAGATCAACTCTTAATTTATTTATAAAAAAAAACCTAAATTGTAGCAAAATTACAAAGTTAACAGGATCACCTCGAAATGAGAAGGGAAATCATTGAACAGCTTCTCCGAATCCGAAGAGAGAGCTTCACTCTCAACTTCATTTTTATTGCTACTATGAATCTCCGAGAGCTCACTTATTCGGCTGAAAACGGTATTAAATTTTAAGGGGAAAACAAAGAGATAGAAAATTATGCACGACAATTTGTTTAACCTATTAAAAAGACAGGGAAAAACCTGCGGATAGATTGAAGATTGAGAGGTTCTGATGAAGAAGAAATCTCCATTGGCTCCGCCATTTTTAATTTTTTTTTTAAATTTTGTAAATAAAACTGATCTCCCGCCTGTTTGAAATTGGTCGAGTACGTTTATTTGTGTTTGGGCTGGAAAATGGCGGGTTGGCCTTCTTAGGAATCTTGAGAAATGGTGTATAAATCAGCTGAATCGTTTGAGTATTATTTAACTTAACTCGACTTGAAAATATTGAAATAAAGTTTGACTCGATTTAAAAATTCGTGAGTTTAAAATTTTTTAAGCTCGATTCGAATATAAATTCATGTACTGAAGCTCGAAAAGAAAAAAAAATCTTAAACATAACTTGATTAAAGCCTCAAAATCTAACTTGAACCTAAAACTAAACTTTAAATACATGAAAACCTTATATTATATTTTTAAAAAAAATCAAATTTTTAAAAAAAATCAACACACAAATGTTAATATTATTAATAATTTTTTTTAAATACAAATTTAATATATTATATTTTCGAGCTGCTCACGAGCTTTTCGAGTCGAGTATCTAGTAGCTCGTTAAGAACTCAAGTCGAGCTCGAGTCCTATTTGAGTCGAGTATTTATCGAATTTTGACCAAATCAATCTCAAGTAGTTCGCGATCTATCTCATCTGATTTACAGACCTACTTGAGATAGTAGACGACACTCTCTCTTAATCTTTGAACAACACTCAATTTAATTTAAAAATGATTTAAAAGAAATCATTTAATTTTATAAATTACTCTGAATTTTATCATTTGAATAATTCGTAAAAATGACGTAAACATTTTCATGTTTCTTTATACTTTTAAAAATATATAAATCGTTCTCGCAGAAATATCAAAGAGATATTCCAAAATTTCAATGTATATATAGAGTTATCCAAAACTTTATGGAAATTATAATTTTATATATTATTTTTTAAAAATAATTGTTGTTGTTTTTTCAAACCACCACAAACTGATTTCAACACATAAGAAGGACCAAAATCAAAACACATGGTGGAATTTTTTGTAGCATTGAAATAAAATCCTTCCCGCAGTAGTATCGACAGAAAAATTCCTGGAGTGCAAAAATCATTGAAGCTACAAACTTGTGCCTATGCAATAACACTTTAAATAAAAAACATTCCTCGAGGTTCACAATGAAATAATAAATCAAATCTAAAAAGAAACTATTGACATTTTGATTAATTCGAAAAACAACTAAATTAATTTGATTTGATTAAGAGATTTTGTATATTTTTTATTTTCATTAACAGTTAAAAGTTAATTAATTTAATAAATGTCTATGTGCAATTGATCATTAACTAAACCAATGGTTTGAATGTGGACAAGAGAGAGGACACAAGATTAAAAAGAATACATTGCCACCAACAAAAGCATACCCCACCACCAACCATCTTTAAAATGTGAGGTTAAAAGAGGCTACTTTCGGCAGAATTAGGGAGATAATCCAAGCGGGCATACTAAATTTTATTTTGAGATTTACTGTAAATGTTACGATGGACATGGGATATATTTTTTTAATACGCCGTAGGACATGGGTCTCATAGCCTGAATATATTTAATATATATTAAAGGATTCATCATGCCCGCATAACGAGTCTTAATAAAAATAATTTTTTTTTTGAAATTTTCTAAAAAATTATAAAAAATTATAATATTTTAATGCAAATAGAGCTCGTCACACTCGGGTGACGAGTTCTAACGGGATATAAATTTGAAATTTTAGATTGTTGGGGTGACCGTTGTTGAACGAGCAATTTTTTTTAAATTCAATGGAACTCATCACGCTGGTGTGACGAGTTCCAACGACTATTTTTAATTTGAAAAAACTAGTTGTTTATAGTCGTTAGATAGAGTAGTATAAATAGACGTTTGGGTTGGATTGATTTTTCACTTAAAATCAAACATCATATTGAGAGTAAAAACTTTTTTGTTGAAGTTGAAGATTTTGTGTTGAAATGACCTCAAGAGAAGAAATGTTACGTCTTGATGATGTTCATATTTCGTCGACTGAGTTAACTACGATAAATTTAATTTGTTTTATTTCATTTTAGTTTTGACAAAATTATAGTATTAATAATAATTATTTATATAATTGTATTAAATAATTTATTTTCAAATTGTAGCAAGAATAACGAGGCATTCGTCATCGATGAATGATGAATGAAGAGTCACATTAGCGAATTGTGATATATCTTCAACAATCTGGATTATATGAAACGACATTTCTTTGTGGTTTTAAGGTGATGTCAGCACTGACATTGGCGTTGATGGAGCGTTGGAGGCCCGGAATGCATATATTTCATTTTCCTTGTGGTGCGGTGACGATAATATTGGAAGATGTCGAGTATCAGCTTGGCGTTCCGATTAATGGTATGTCATTAGTGCTTCGCAACAATTATGCGCAAGATGCAATTATTTTTTATTTATTAGGAAATGAGGCTTTAGCCGATGTCATTGATGGGATGTGGATACGGATGACGTGGTTGGAAAAAGAATTTAGAGTATATAGACAATTAACGGAACGAGAGGTGCTATATGCAACTCGAGCATATCTTATGATGTTGATTGGAGGGATCTTGCTACCAGATAAATCGAGTAATTTGTTGCACACCCAATATCTTCTGGTATTGGAGGATTTTGTTATATGTCGTCAATATAGTTGGGGTTCTGTAATTTTGGCTTTTTTGTATCGTGAACTTTGCAAGGCGACCATAGTAGTTAGAGGACAAAAAGCAGATGTAGCAGGTTGTTTAGTTTTGTTCCAATCATGGGTATGCTATCGTCTCCCGTTTTTTATGCCTAATACATCTGCTCCTATAGAGTTTCCTCTCCGCAAGGTAAATTCATATATTTAAAGTTTTGATATTTTATAATATTTATTTAAATATTTTGAAAATTAAAATAAATAATGTAATTTTTTTGGATGACGACATCGAATAACCGATACAAAGTTATCGGGTGCAACAAAAGTAGATATCTGGATGAGAATTGATATCACTGGTAGACATACGGTAAATATTAATAATTTGTGCATTAATTTTGAAAATTATAATATTAATTATTTAATTATACTAATATCGACACTCGATTTTTCGTCCCGTTAATATTACCGCTATTATTATTAAATACATTTTTTCTGCATGCCAAGTCCAAAAGCGAATCTAACCCAATTACATAACATCAAACCCGGAGCCCAAAGAATCAAGCCCAACAACCCATCAAGCCCAAGCCAAACATACCCAACAATCTGACCCAAGTGGAACTCAACAGATAGGGTTTTACCCTAACCCTGTACAGTCGTCGTCGTTCACCAACCACAGTAAGCCTTGATGTCTCTTGTCTCTACCCGTCATTTGCCATCGCTGCTACCACCAACCGAAAGCCCTGCAAGTGTCAGAAATCCATAATCAACACAGCAAGCAATCCATACTCACACGCCACGCAAAAAAACTTATTTGTAATGATTTCAAGCAACAAAAAACGAAAAAGTATATGTAAAATCGGGCTTATATAACCCGAAGAAAAAATGTAACAAGGGGCCCTGGCTCGGTTATTTTTCGAAAATAATAAAAAGGAACATTTCAGAGCAAATTTGGTTCGGTTCTTTCTTTCTAAATTTGAAACATATTATTTCCTTTTTAGCAATACCGAAGCAAGAAAAATATATAAAAAAATAAGTCAAAGGAGAGGCATTACCTTCTACCGGTGAGAGACGACGGCGTTAGGGACCACCGTTCGAAGATCTGAATGGTCAACTAAAGGAGGAGGCTGAAGGGAGTATCATATCCCAAAACCAGGGTAATCCAAAGGCAGACGGCGACGGATCAGAGAGAAGAAAGCTTAACGATCTTCAGCTATTTCGTAAAATAGACCCCGAATCCGAGACAATGAGGCTGAGATAAACCTCCAAGTGAAATTTGGTGGCTAAAGGTCATTGGCGGTGACGGTGATATAACGGTGCAGCGGCCGATGACGGCATGGACGACTGCACGTCGACAGCTCAGGCAGTAGCCCGACCACCGAATTTCTAGAGAGAGGTCAGACCCTCTCTCTATAAAAAAAATTAAAACAAGTTAAAATGAAAAAATAAAAAACAAAGAAAAAAGTTGGTATATATAGGAAAAGTTTCAGGGGAAATCACCCTTAGGGTTCCCTGAACTTTATCATGTTTTTGCAAAGAGGTCACTGAGGGACCATTTTTGTTATTTCCCATTTTATATTTTTGCTTTGTAATGTTTGGTTCAATGATAGTCTAGTCCCTTTAGTTGTAGCGCGTTTTGCATATTAGTCACCTGTGGGGTTTTTCTCTGTAATTTACCCATTATGTGCATGATGTTTATATTTAGGGATATTTGCTATTTAGCCCTTGCATGTTTACGCGTGTTTTGCATTTTAATCCTGCAGTGATTGTTTAATTTTTCTTTGAGTATTTAGGGACTTAGTTTGTAATTTTACCTTTATTTATTAAAATATGTAAAATGTAAAAAAATTAGAATATTTATGAAATAACCCTTGTGTTTTTGCATGTCTATATTTCAAACCCGAATGTGTTTTTTATTTATTTTAATTTGGCGATAGAATTTTAATTTACTTTAATTTAGTCTCATGTTTTATTTATTTTTATTTTAGCACTTAATATTATTAATGTTCATTTTAGTCACTTGTTATTTTATTTTATGTTAATGTTGGCACAACAATTTAATTATTTATGTTTTAGTATCGCTTTTATTTTTTATTTTAATTTTTGCATGTTGTTTGCATATTAGTTCATTTTAGTCCTAATTAATCTCGCATGATATCCTCATAAGCATTGCTTGACTTGAATCAAAATAAATTGACTAAGGGTAATATTCGATTTTTTTAATATTGTCGTAAAGTGATTGTCTTAACGTATTAGAAAGTTACTTTCGATAATTTTAAAATAAAAGTCTATCCCATTTAGTGACACGAATTGAATCAATTTCATTTTTAAAATTCGGGAATTTAGAAAAAGACAATTTTCTTTTAATTAAATTCATCGAGAAAAGACTGTTAGATCAAATCTAAGGTCTCATATCGAGATATTTAAATAATTGAACATCTTTATTTTC